TGAGCCCGGGAAGAAGGGAGGGGTGGGGGGGAGGTGTTTTAAGATTTAGTTTTTATTTCTCATTACCCTACTCTGACTTGATTGGCAATAAATTAAACGAATTTCCCCAAGTCCAGTCTGTTTTGTCCGTGATGGTAATTGCTGAGTGACTCTCCCTGTCCTTATCTCGACCCACGAGCCTTTCGTTACACCTTCTCTCCCCTGTCCAGCTGAGGAGGGGAGCGATAGAGCGGCTTTGGTGGGCACCTGCCCTCCAGCCAGGGTCAGCCCACCGCATCTTTACAGCGGGTACATGTAGGAGGCAGAGGCTTGGTGCTGAGGTGGCCGAAAGAACACTGTGGCCTGGCCTGAAAATGAGCAAGAACCATGCAAAAAATACCACAACCACTAGTTTCATTTAAAAGGATCGGGGTCTAGGAGCCTTAGCAAACTCTGCTACCTGATACAACACTTACTGGGACTAGGTCTTACTCTAATCAGCACCATAAGTGCATACCACAATGTTTTTCCATCTAGCACATAAGCCAGCACGATGTGTTTTACAAAACAGAAACCCACGGTCCCAATACATACAATAAAAGAATATTCTTACCTAAATGCATGAGGTCTTGCAGAAAGTTATCAAAAAAGGTATTCCTATTTTTTAATCAGAGAAATAATTCAGCTAGTCTAAAGTCTTGTCTGTCAGATGCTAGAACTAAATACTTTGAGAAAGCATAAGAAATTCAGCAAACAGCAGCTATGGAACAGGTCGCAGAACTTCTCTGCGAACGTAAGTCACCTATAACTAATCGGCAGATAGGTGAACGCCAGCTTGGCAGCACCCAGCAGGCATGTCCCACGCCATCTGACGCAGGACAGCATGCGGATTTTGTGTAATGAGAACGACAGGTCTCACACGCTCTCTAAACTCTTGGCCTCTGTGGTATTTTGTGGCAAAGAAAGTTTTACAGCTGTTGTAGAACTAGTCGATACTAACTAATCCACACTGCCCTTCCCAAGGAAAGCCACAGGCTTGGAGGTAACTGAGGGCTACAGCAAGGAACAGAACTAGAGCGCTGTGGGGTCTGTGCAAATCAAGAACTTAATCTAAAGACAAGTCTTTAATCCCACTTCCCAACGCAGCCAGGCTGTTAAGCAGCCGCACATGATTTCTTCCTTTTCTTTGCAGTTCACATTTTATTTCTTTACAGGTGGACCCAAAAGGATCACCAGAATATTCCCCTGCCTCTCCCACACTTTTTACTTGCTTGGTTTTATGTATCAACAGAAAAAATCATTATGTAGATCACAGTGGGCCTCATACCTGAGATCACCTTACCCCAAAGTCAGCAGCAAGTTTTTGGTAAATACAGAATGCACAAGTATAATATAGTCACGCTATTAAATACATGGCCTTCTTTAAAAAACTGAGTAAGGGTACATTAAAACTTTGAATTTTCTGGCTACTTCTGTCAATTCCGCCCTAAACATTAACACACGATCAGAAGAAGCCGTAACTCCAAGGCCACGTATACTCAACACTTAACTATTTCACTGCAAATACAGCGGCAGCCTGAAACATGAAGGGAATGCAGCGTAACGCAATTTAGTAACAGTGGGAAAACAGGCAATAAGGCAATGACCAAATGAATCTGGTCTGTCTTCCTCTGCTTAGAGCAGAGCACGCAGTGGAAATACCACAGGAATGATGCAATCACAAACACGTGGTCTGGGAGGAAAACAACAAGGTGTGGACAATCTAGGTACCTGGGTCCAGCCTCCATCGTTTCTGTGCATGCGCACAGGGGACAGAGGCCAGCACGTTCTCTTTGTTCATCAGAGGTAGCAGCTGCGTTCACCTCTCGCCGTACCTTAAAACGCCTCTGGCAATCTCAGAAAGGCCGTAAGAACGGGCACTAGGACTTTATGGGCATGCTCTGGACGTGAACTGGGTAAGAAGCTCAGCTTCTGCAGTACAGAAAGGATTGGGGCATTGAAGAATCAGTGACTGGATGAAACTGCTCTCCTCGCTTGTCTCGGTGCTAGAAGCGGTTACTTCAATAAAGGAATAGGCTACTGTTTTTCCCAGGCTCCTTCACATTTGCAGACCCATTTCATTTTCTTCTGAACTATATTATCCCAACCCAAAGTCATGTGTAGCCCTCTTCGATGGTCTTAACTCACATCCCATTTTATTTCTACCATGAAAAATATCATTAACTTGCTCAATATAAAAAGTGATCTCATAACACCTCAGGATATGATTATGTGGGTGAAGTTTGGCATTTAAGAAGGACAGTGGCTTTTCAGAAAGGGCTATCCTGAAGAAAGGAAATAGTACTAAATTTCCGTATTTTCTTCTTCTAAATAAAAAGGTATTGACCCAAGAGATTAAGAATAGTTCAGGTAAGGTACAGATTTCAACACAACTCTATTCAGATATGAAATTGCCTTTTTTCCTGCATTTCAGACATCACTAAAGTCTCCTTAAATGTAGGGTGGGGTTTTTTTGTTTGTTTTTTTGTTGCCTAGAGCATAAAAGATCAGTCTTTAAAAGACACTAGGTATAGGCCCTACAGTCATTCAACAGAAATTGAAACAGAAAAATGGTTAGAACTGGAAAACAAAACTGACCTATTGTCCTTGTCCAAGCTGAAGGAAATGCAAGAGTAAACAGACAGTGTAAACAGTGATCATTAAATTGTGGCCCATTTAAATAACCTATTATGCGAGCAGTGCTGGCTAAACTAGGCGTAATTCGTTATCTGCAGCAGTACAATCAGCACCTACCGTCAGCAGTTTTAGTAGATCGGAAAATATTTGGGAAAAAAAAGCAAGCCATGAAACAAGTTAAAAATATTTCCAGTGAGTAACACATAGTCAGATCTTGCTCATTTTAAAAGATCTTTTCTAGTATTAAGCGTAAAACGTTAAAATAGATCAGGTTTTGAGATAGAAAGCACGTTACACAGAGCAAAAGAACAGAGTGCAGGTTTGGAGCAATTTAAAATGAACAATATTTTGCAACCATGCAAGTGGATCATCCAAATTTCACATTCCTACGCCAGCTGTAGAGTAATGGTGGGTATCTAAACACCTAACCACAAAGAATACACTTTCACCTTACGGAAAAGTTCATTTTTTTGGCACCTATTTGTTCATAGGTGACTAGAAACAGGTTTCCCATTTCTTCTAGGAAGGTTAGTAAGAACACCTCAAAAGTTAACCCAAACCAGGAAGAGTAATGCAGCTTTTGAAGTATTCGGAGCCCTAGAAATTTTCTGATAATTGAAGTAAGTTGAAAGTGTATGTATGCATATGTGTATGTTTTCCAGAATCCAGGAAAACACGGGCAAGAACATGCCTAAGGGAAGCCAGGAATAAAACCTGTTAGCTTCACTGCAGGCTGGGGAAAGGGCTAGAATTTCAGTCTATATTTTAACAAGGACTCTTGGCACAGTATCCCTAAGGGCTATTATTCACAGACAGTAGAATTCCTCCTTATCTGGGAGCTTTAATTTTGTAAACCGAAACAAACTTGTAATTCCATCTAATTTTTAATATTGACAAGGAAAGAAAGGTATTGCTGTCCAACTGTTGACAGGCATCAAAATTTTAACAGGTACAGCCTGAAGTTTCAGAGTCAGAGTCAAGCATCCAACTCACAGAATTTCAAGGGGAACTATGCAGCTAATTTCTTTTTGGGATTTTGTTTGGTTTTTTTTAAGTCCCAGGTTAAGAACATAAAGGCCAGCGAGACTGGAGTTCTATACGATTCAGGAATGTTAATATGGGCATTTATCTACTGTCAGGTCAGCAAACATGGTGAGCTACAGGAGGTGCCAGTTTGAAAAGCGGCCCCAAACACGCAGACGTTCACAATAAGATTGGCTTGATAGTCACATTTTATTACCAAAACAACTAGAAAGCAAATCATTTAACTTCACGCTACAAAATATTAAGATTGCTGCTGGGATATTAGCAACCAGAGGCAGACGGCAAATTTCAAAGGACTTCCCAGCACAGGCCACGCTGAAGAGCTGCAGGAGGAACGAGCAGTTCCTCCCAGGGTTCTTGCCAATTATCTCCTCTAATTTGACCTCTTGGCAAGCCCTAGAGGTCTCAGCTAGCCCTACGCTAGAGACCAACTGTGTGCAATTTTTACCTGAACCTCTGTGCTAGCGTACTAGTGAAATGAAAATTGCTTTTGGTAAATTAACCTTGCCGTTATTAGTCTTTGTAAGTGTTTCTGTAGTGTTAAACATGCCGTTCTTGTAACGCTTAGAAGTGCCAAATCAAAACAGTCCAAGGATACATCAAGTGGGCAAAACTCCACTGAAGAAAATGGAAATCATAGAATCATTCAGGTTGGAAAAGACCCTTAAGGTCATCGAGCCCAACTGTAAACCTAACACCACCAAGTCCACTGCTAAACCATGTCCCTAAGTGCCACATCTACAGGTCTTTTAAATACCTCCAGGGATGGGGACTGATTGCCACGAGGCTTGTGTTGGCTCATTACCTCTCGAAGTATCAACTTATCCATAAAAACAGACAGCATTCATCAGAGAAGCAACCAGCTTCTCAGTACAGATTGCCTTTCTTGCTCTCGGCATCCAGCAAAGTGGTCACCATCAGTCGTGTATCAACCGGAGATAACTATTCCCAATATAAACTAAAACAGACTGAAGTCTTGACGTGTTATCAAAAGCAGTGTCTGCAATGCCTTGCATAATATTCTACCCTGTTTCTGCACATTTGTTTTAATGCTTTATGACAACATCAACCCAATCTTATTGATTTGCACCATTGCTCACCGACAGAAAAGCAGAAGACAAGGCTGATAAATTTGCAGGCTCAGGGTCAAGTGTTAATTGCAGAAAACACTGACAATCTGGGAACAGCAAAATCCCTTGCAGTCACAGACTAACACTTCCTATTTTGATTTTTATTTGGAAGGAAACCAAAACAATGCTATATTAGACTGAAACAGAAGCATTTTGAAATGTGAATTTTGGACAATTAAATTGCTTATGAATAGTGAAAGCAAAGGAAAGCAAAAGCAAATAATTTCATCTCATTGTTTCGTAAACAGAAACCAAACTCCACTAAAAAGGAGGGGGGGGGAAAAAAAAAAGCAGAAAAGCTGGCATAAATTTGCAGGCTCAGGGTCAAGTGTTAATTGCAGAAAACACTGACAATCTGGGAACAGCAAAATCCCTTGCAGTCACAGACTAACACTTCCTATTTTGATTTTTATTTGGAAGGAAACCAAAACAATGCTATATTAGACTGAAACAGAAGCATTTTGAAATGTGAATTTTGGACAATTAAATTGCTTATGAATAGTGAAAGCAAAGGAAAGCAAAAGCAAATAATTTCATCTCATTGTTTCGTAAACAGAAACCAAACTCCACTAAAAAGGAGGGGGGGGGAAAAAAAAAAGCAGCAAAAGCTGGCAGAATCAGTGACAACCAATCACCTGCGGTTTTCATCCAGCACATCCAAGACCTGCTGGTAAGCCCTACGAGTGGAAGACTGGATAAACGACAAAATGCCACGAGCAGAGTAAAGATTAGTTCCATCTTCAGGTAACATATTGGGAGGACAGACACGAGCCTGTTGCAGTGACGGTGTCACACTGTTCGTACAAGCATAGTAAACGGAGAGAGAAATACTATAGTCAGATTTTAAATTAAAAAAAGCTTTTCAGATAGACCCCATTCCAAAATGCTTATTGCTTGCTCTTGGTTTACCCTTCTCCCACCGCCATAAGGTAACACTCCCAAATTCTAGTAGCGTAGGGATCATGAGCTACATTTATATATGTTCTTCAGAAACAAACACAAGTAATAATCCAAGGACACAGTTTCGATCTGCTATACAAGTTAGTTTTAGAAAGTCCTTGTCCAGCTAAATCTGTACCTGTTGAAGTCAGTTTTCAAGTCCTCACTGACGTCAGTGAGAAAAGTGTTTTTACAAGCATTGGCATGTTTTAAAAAATCCTACCCATAATCTCTTTCAAAACACAAGCCTTTTTCAATAAGGAGAATCTCACAGCGTCTCTTCAACAAAAATTCTTCTTCAAGCTGTGACTAAAGATCAAGATAGTATTTTGATTCGCACATGAACAAAGTTTAAAGGCAACTGCAAGAAATTCCACAAAAAGCACAGAATTCATATCCCAGTGACAACAAGTTACATGATCTGACTTTTTGACTGTGCTGCAAAAATAATATTTAAAATACACAGTATTGAAATTCAAACACGACCATTTGGATTAGACAAACTTCATCTCTATCAGACAGAAATTAGTTTTGATAAACTGTCTTTGATTTGCTCATGTTTCTTTACATTCAACCTGACTTTATCCATATTGTCCTTCACACATCAAGATATTTTTAATTTTTTAAATTTTTTTTCTTTTAATCAGGAAGCTTTTATTAAAGGTGAGATGCTTTTTTAATAGGAAGTAATTCGTGGTAACTTAACTGTAAATATTAACACAAATGCAAAACAAAGTGCGAGTCACTGTACTCTTTAAATCTTGGGATAGTTTTTATTCCAAGATTAGCATCCATAATTCAACACATTGCCTTTGATCTTGCCACTTGTGCTTCGCTCCAACAGTTTCTGGAGTTAGAATGCCAATCTTCCCGCTTCTGGCATTTTTAAGAAATTAAGCAAAGCATTAGCGGCTGAGTGCTTGGAAGCTGGTTTGATATTTGGATAATCTCTAGATAGGTCATACTTCTATGGATACTCTTATTTTGAATAGAGTTGCTCTGCAACTGGCTGGCACCAAGATCATAAAAATGAGTAAGAACGAAAATTCAATTGAAAAAAGACAGATTCAAAGCGTATTACACGGACGTCACTTCACCCACAGAAAAGTTCAGCCATCATGTTCTTCAAGAGACATGCAAAGACAGCGGTGGCTGGTGCTTGACTGATACTGGTCATTATTTATTACCTGAACGGCAAATATCTTTTCATGCTGCTGTAGACTACATTTAGACAAGAGAAAGTAAAAAGGGGAAGGAGGCATCAATAAACATCTATTTCGCTTCTTTACAGCTTTTATCGTTCTCCCAGACTTGTAGGATCCAACTTCCTTTTATATTTATGATGACTTCTACTTTGCAATCAATGGTAGTGGTCACACCCACACATTTTACTCTTGAATTGCATTGGATTTGCCAATATTCACTAGAAAAATATCAAGAAGCAGGGGCAAGTATGGAAATACTGCCACTAAAGTGAATTTATGAGAATTTCTACTCCTTTGTGGATTTGCTGGCTTGAGGGAAATGAGGGAAGAGCTGAAGGCTTGAACTCATAGTATGTTTTATATGAAAAGTAATTTTTCCTGTTCATCACTTCATCGATTTACAGAATAGGCTGAAAGACAGCTTAAAAAAAGGTAACAAACAGTATTTAGACCTATTGCAAACGAGAAGATATTGTGGAATTCCTGTTGTCCAGAATGGTATTACTGTAAATACCACAGTAATATTATCTGCATACAGAGTCTTCTGTAGACACTGAAAAAAAATCCCCCAAACCTATTTAACTAAAACTGCACAAAATTCTCTAGAAGAAAGTTACATGTGCTGATTAAATGGAAAGCGTATATAGTAAGGAAAAATCAAGGCGGACTTCAGAACTAGGTAATTCCTGAGCCCGTGGTCCCTGGACTACTTTATGCTCGTTGTTTTATAGGTGGCTTGTAAGAAAAGGCAGTTTCAGGGGATTATTTCATGCATTTTAAGATATTATTTAATTCTTACTTTACAGAATATTTAGTTTCTTAAATGATTTAATTGTTTAAGAGATTATTTAAATCTATTTGCTCCTGGATATGAGCTAAACTGTACAGCTACATGAAATTACTCAAATTTTCTCCATAAAGGCTATTGCTAATTTTAATATCCTTCTAAAGTGCCCGGTTTGAGAGAGACGTCTCTCTTCCTCTCTGTCTGAAAGTGAGAATAATTCTATGAAGGGCTCAAATGTCAGGATTAAGGAATATGGGGAAAAACAAACACACACCCCCCAAAAAAATAAGCAGCCAAATTTTTCTTCTATCCTCCTTTTTCAGGATTCAAAATTATTGTCCTGTAAACATGTGGTAGTCCTTTGGACTATGTCAGAGACTATGGAGAAGAAATATTATGAAGCAAATATCTGACATACAAATCAGCCAAGATGACGTAAGAAAAAAACATCCCTAACGTAAGGAAAATTCTCTAATGTTTAGTATGACTACTTATCATTAGACATTGTGGCTATCCCCCTTCTCTTCTCCATTTGTAGTTAAATGGTCTCAGTCCTAGGTATAATTTTGTTTCAAATTTCTGAAAAGAATTCTCATCTACAGCTCCAGCCACTTATTTTAGCACTCCTGGTTGCAAACACCAGAAACAAAACAAACAACATGGAATTACAGAAATTACTATGGAAGAGCACAGTAACATTCTACTCTATGCAGAGTTTTTAGTTTAGCAGTAACCTCCCCTAAACTTTCTCAAAACATTTGTGATGTACACGGGGTTTATTTCAGATATTTCTCTCACTTACAGTTCTGGAAGTATCAAATGAGACGTAAACAGATTTAACTAATTAAGGTTACTTTAAATTGAACCACACAGACAGACTGTATTCTCATTAAAGATGTGCACACCATTACCTTTTCCCCCACAGCTTGCATGAACAGAATTTCTCAAACTGTGAAATTAAGCTCTCTAGAGAGATGTGTTTTTCTAAGGGAAAGGCTGGAGTAGAAGAAAAATTAAACGCTGTCCCCTTTTCCACGCACTCTTGGTGGTTTGTTGACTTCCGATGCAGAAGTGGAATCCTTGTATTCAACATTGGCTGGCAATGGCCAACAAAAAGCTTTGTTTCTCTGGCTATTCAAAAACAGCCAAAGAACGAAGAATCAAACAAACTAAAGCTATTTTGAAATTTAATTTTTCTTTACAAATCGGTTCCGAGTTGAAGCTGTCCCTTTCCTTTTGCTGCCAGGTATTTTTCCCTACGTTCTTTACACAGGGAAAACGATTTGGCAAAGTTTGAGAAACCCTGAAGCAAAATTAGAAACCACACATTCAGTGTAGCAAATTTTCAAATTTTATATTCTAAACTACAGATACTTAGACGGAAAATTAGTATTGCAGAGAGCTACATAATTAAACACACTCTTGATTTTCATATACCAGGTAACATTTAGGCTTACGTGCAATCCTTAGTCGAAACAGGTGACTGGAACCGTGGCATTTTATTTCTTGGGACAGTATCTGATCTGTGCCACCTTGAATAATAATTGTAATCTCTTAAGTAAGCATCCTTATAAATAGAGGGATTGTAATTCAGAGAGCTGTCATTATTGCTATGCAGATAGATAGTTATTGTACAAGCAGGTGCCTACTTGTTAGTCTCAGTTTTTTAAAAAACATTTGAGAATTACTGTCTTTAGTGAAGCCCAACTCCCGAAAAATTCTCAGAACTGTCTCTGCATGCAGCTGCACGACAAGAAGAGAAAAACAACAGAAAAGAAACAACTATTTGTACCATGTAGAGAACACTGTGATAGGGAGCCCAGCCAATTCTTTTACTTCAATCTGGCAATCTATTCCAGAATGTTTAATTTTGTCACTTTGTAGGTCAAGCACTGGAATTTTGCGCAGTACATCTGAACATTTTGTCCAAGGAGGACAACAGTCTCCCAGATTAAAACTTGAGTATTATAGTCCTATTTAGAAAACAAAGGTTTTAAAAGGCTCCATGTGCCTTTTCAAGGGGGTCCTCATCACAGCATCCAAATAGACTATGGTGTCTATCAGGAAGTTGAATCAAGGAGGTAAGAGAAACAAGCATTTAAAAAAAAAAAAGGATTTTTTGGATAGGAATTAAATATTTGAAGTAAAATGTGGACTCTCTTTTCTATTTGAAGATGTGAACCAGACTTATGCAAGCACAGGAATAAAGAGCTGATCTTTGTCAAGTTAGAGCACCATAGTATTTGTTACTGCAGAAGTAAACTACTTAGACATGATATGAACTTAAAAGTCAAGCCAGTTTTGATGAAGCAGCAATGTATCATTACAGTAATTAGAACAGAGATTATTTCTTTCAGCCAACAACACTGGAAATAAGAACTTTAGGGGCAGCTGGTTTCTTGTGGTTTTGTACCACTGGAAAAAATAATATTTCTAGATGGTAAAGAAATTTCAGCGTGATATAAATGAGGTAACAGGTGTACAATTACGTTTTCTGTAGTGCAAAGAATACATTTGTAGGAGAATTTATCTACTTAAATGGTCTAATTTATCAACAAGGAAGCTAAACTTAGAAGACGTGCATCACATTTACCACGAACCTCTAACAGAAATAGTGGTCTATGAGCTAGGCGATACCCAGTACCATCTGAGGTAGCATAATTTACATTAAGCAGGTTGGTTTGCTTGTATTGTCTATCTTGAGCTACACAATAACACTTCCACATGGGCAGCTACTTCTCTAAGTGAAAACAGAATGCCATGTTACCAATTTTGTTTGTAGAATCGCTACTTCTGGTTTTATTTACATGAAACGTGCAATTTTTTTTTTGCAGTTTACAGTATATGTCCTGTGGGTCTAAACTGTGAGGAAACAAGAGCCAAGAGATACCTTTTTCACCAAGTACAAAAGACTTGGCTTTCCTGCATTTGTGTGAGCCATACAAGTTCCACCTTAAACATAGTGTTTTCGTAATCTGAATTCACATAACGTTCTCCTGAGAGTTAGCCAGGTACATAGTCACATTCTCCACCTGGAGATTGACAAAACCTGTATGAGGGAGAAATGCCAGACTCAGCATCACTGAGAATGCCACAGCACGTCCAAAGTGATTTCTTTTCTTGGATCACACTGAGTCAGAAGAAGCAACGATGACGGAAAAAGCAGCAATTTCTAGGAACCTCAATGATTTCAAAGCAGATGATCTACACATTAGGCACAGTATAACTTCTGTCATAAGAAAACAAGTACTTGAGAGGACAAGAGACAAATGAAGTTCTTCTAAAACACTTTATCAGCAGGTCAGCAAGTGGGGAATGCTGCAGTGAGGAAGGATAGCTTCTTCCACATGGGCAGCAGAGAGCACAGATACGGCAGGCTCAATATTAGCTAGCTGTTATTTTTCATACAAACAAAAGAGAAGAGATCCTGGATCAATCTAAAGCTTATATAATTTTCCTGAAAGACACTCACATGGACACTGCTTGGCATCGCAAGTTTGATTTATCTGACAGACATTATGCAGGCACTAGCATGGGCATCAAGAGAGGAAAGCTAATCTCCAGATGTGTCACAATTTCCTAGCTTTTGTAAATGATAAACTGAGTCACTCAAGCTACCAGTTATATGTTCATTGATCGTATCCTTTTCAATTAAAGGATTCCAAGTTTGTATTGTATTGCTAAGCCTCTGAAGGACTGCTAGCAGATTAATAAACTGTGACAGCAAATAATATTCAGACCATTTTAAACGAGTAATTCTATATATAGCTACTGAGCGACAGCAAGGCACACAGGTGAGTTTTACAGATTTATGATTTTTGGATTCAAGAAGCCCAAGCACATGCGAGAAATCTGACAGCAACTGGCTACATCCAGTCAGAGCTGATCTTGCCAGCTTCTCAGATGGCTGGCTGGGCAGACACAGCCCATGACTTTCAGAAGACTAAACTAACCTGGGGAGCAAGGACAAAGTGATTTCAAGAAATCGCAAGAATTCATATACCGTCTGTTTTTCCTTTAAGTCCAATATATCAAAGACTGGCAACGCAGAGCTGGTAACGTCAAAGGGGTAAACTTTTTCACAAGCAGCTTCCGTCACATGAAGACCATCTATTCCAGCATGCATCACGTGAAAACTGTCAGATAGGCAAGTGAAGGCCATTCCTGCCGTGAAATTCTAGTATGACTGGTCCAACAGGACCTAACTGGATGACTGATACCACGGGGAACTTGGGCACTTAGCAGGCTGCTAGAACATTTGGAGACCGAGCTGATGAGGAGCTTATGGATGTGAACCTGGTTGTGCCAGCTCAGGGAATATATATGACTCGGCAGACTTGAGAACCTAGACACGAGCAATCTATAAGCTTGTATGAACCAAAAGCCTGATTAAGTAAGAAGAGGAAGATATGCAACAGTATTTCCATGAAGATCTGGACGAAGAGAAGGACAATTACAACATGTCTGGAACATGCATCAGAGCACATTTCACCTGTTTTAGACAAACTAACAGGTAGACAGATACGCAGTACATATAGTACCTCCTAGTGCCCCTGCTGTAAATAGAAGAAAACAGACGTTTCTAGGACATAATTCACTTGATCCGTTTTAGACTAAAAATAGGTAGACCCTAAGTAGGTCATGCACTTATTTCCCTCTGGTTACTGAAAATTAAGTTTATGGTGATTTAGCAATAGTGTTACACAGTCTACATTCGGGACAGATGAATCCCATCTTTTAGGTCTTAAACCTAAGATCCTTTCAACAAGGGAAAGTATTCTTTATGGTAGCTGTATTACGAATCTTTTATATATGAGTTTTAAGTGTTACATTGCAAAAACAGTTATTGCCAGGTGGAAAGATGCTGTCACTCAGAATAAACCATGATTAATCAAAGACTATCGTATCTAATAAAAATATACAGACCTGTATGTCTTCAGAAAGCACCATAAGAATTGCTACCTCAGATGGTATCAACAGATGAAGTTTCCAACTCTAAATGCTGCTTCCCATTTTGGTCTCAAAAGATTAAGATATATACTCACAGATTCCAATACATTAAGTACATTGACACCAAAGAAAAATTACTTATTCTAATATTTATGAGAAATACACGTATTCCTTTTTCTATAAATGAAAACCATTACATAATATCAACAGTGAGAGAACAGGGAACGTTTTCATGCACAAAGAACTCAATTTCCTGAAAATTCAGGGGGGAAAAAAAAATTATACCAGCTCAGAAGCTGAAAAATCTCCTGAAGTAACAATTCACGGTAACTGGTGAAACCAACTGTGAGCCCACAAACACTCCCACCCATCCACTGCAAGAAAATACTTCACAAATGAGTCACCTCACTAAACAAAAAGCATAGAAATTAAGGAAAATGCTGGCCTTATAATATTTCAAATTATGTACTTGCCACAACATACAAAATATTAGTTGGAAAAAACAAATAATGAGGAGATAAGGAACAAAGAGAATACGTAACAAAGCTGTAGTTGCGTCCCTGCACCCTGTTGCTCTACTCACATGGAATCATTTCGGGCCAGCTGGCCGTTCTGTCGAGTGGCGTTTTCGCTCATGGAACGTTCTCTCTTCAGTCTTCCCACTGAGCGGACCTGCATAAAAGGGGAGAAAGAGGGAGATAAAAGACAGGGAATTCCAGGAGACACTTAATAACTCACACTGGAGACTTGTAAGTTAGAGCTGCCCTCAGATACAAAGGCACGTTTTCATGGGTTTCACAGTGATTAGGAGGAAAACAACTGCTGACAGGATCCGATGCTGGTACATGTAAAACCAAGGTCCAAACTTACTGCAATCCTGTCGTTACCTATCCATATGACCTGATGCCAAAAGCATGAACAAACAGAAGTTTGAATATGTAAGAAGGCAATGTTATGTTTAATATTACTTCCTATCACCAGGGAGAAATATATTTCTACTGTATTTTATGGGTCTATAGAATACGCAGCTTCATAAATATTTTTCAGTTCTTAAGGTGTCCATTACACGTCATCCACCTGGATGCCAATGGTGTACCATTCTTTGAAGTTGGTTTTCAGAGTTTTGTTAAAACTCACTAATTCTACATGGTGTTATATCATCTGGCCACGAATTCCAAAGGTTAACTATACACATTAAAAGAATCCTAGTTTGCTTTCTGATAACCTGCAAACTAAAAAAATCCTGCAGCTTTCTCTTCAACCAAAAGGATTTTTTTTGTTAGAAGTATTTTGAATAATTCTAATTATGACTTTATTTTTGTAAGTACTGTGTAAGCTTACTGAGCATGGCAACCCCTAGCCACCTGCCAATTAAATGTGGAACTTCAAAGTCATAATTAGAACTACTACAGTGCTAATAAAAATATTTTTCTATTTTCCCAGCTTATGTTAGCACCAAGTAGATCTGCACCACAGTAGAGAAATCATTGGTCATTTCACTTTCTTTAGCAGAATGCTTCTCAACTAAGGAAAAAGCAAAATAAGTACTAGCCTCTTCACTTTGAGGTGTCTGCTGTGGAGGTTTTTCTAGGTCCAAAAAGTCTAGCGGTCGATCACTAAGAGAAATAACACGGGGAGGAGTTTTCAATGCCAGTGGTTTGAATGGAGTAGACTGAAGAAGGTCAAGGTCTGGTGGTCTGGAAAATGGAATGTCTTCACTACTACCTGCAAGAACATCAGTTGTCAATAGAAAGCAAGCTGTTCTGAGGCCTGAGGGCTAATGCTAAAGTTCAAAAAGACATCACATCAGTTACTTCCCCTGACTATGCCAAATAATTAAGTATACCTTTCTTTAAGACGGCTCGTAGGTTAAAAACTATGGTTAAAGCTCTCAAAGACCACATTAACTGACACCTGTTTGAGCAGTTTCTCCAAGAACAACGATCCTGAGTAATCCTGACCAACATGAACTGTTACTGCAAGTGAGGGCACTTTTAATCTCAAGACATAGTCCTATTAAAGGTGTATTTGTTTAGAAATACGGTGGCTGGGGATGTGAAGATGTCACTCTTTCAAAGCATAAAATATATGCATGTCACACATTTTGCAAATTGTAAGGCCTTCAGCAGTTCCGGGTCTGTCACTGTAAAGCCCATGACCATAAATACTAAAGAAGTATTGATAGAGCCCACCCAATAATAGACAGATCCTTAACATATTAGCATTCTGATTATAATCAAACACACTTTGCACGGCTAATATATAGTACATCTCGAAACTTGTTATAGTTACTTTAGCTTATAGTTAATTAAGAAAAATCAGGTGTAAATCAATAAACATTAAAGTTTTTTTGTTCCAGAAATGGTTTAGTAAGATGAAAAGTCAGCAATTAAACTTTCTGTTCATAATTCATTCGTTAACTGTCTCGACTACAAGCTATACCAAAACTATTCATGAAACATTTTCAGAGTTTAAGAAACTTCCTAAGTCAAAGTTGATGAGCAGTAACTGTTTGAAAACCAGAAAGCATTTTACAGGTTTTTCATTTAAAAATATAGCAGTATGTATTTTTGTCCATCCAGAAATTTGGGGAACTAATTTAAGTTTTTGCCTATTTTTCTTTTATTCAGATGCAGACATACCTGCCACTACAATCCGCTCTGGAACCTGCATAGTTACACTGGCATTTGGAAATCCTTCTTGGATGCCCTTCTCAAGGTCAGCATTTTGAGGAGCTACTTTGAGTTTTTCTGGGACCCTCATGCGCTGACTGATTCCTTCGGTGTATTCCATTTCATACTGAAGGCGATTAATTTCTGCCATCTCGGCAGCTGGAGATGGGAACGCAGCCCCACTCATTCTGGCAAAAGAAAACCAAAAGCTGTAATAGCAATATAGGAAACCAGCAGAAAGCGCGTAAAGGAAACTCTTTGTTCCGATTACTAGGCAAGCGGTAGGTGATCCTAACTGAACAGACTTATTTAGAGAAACAAATTATACGATAAAATTGATAGGAAGTGTAGTCACAAGGAGTTGAGAGTTGGGGGCAATGACAGAAGAACAAAGTGATGCTGTAGGCAACGCTCAAAGCTGCACCGAGGGTCCTCAAATTGAGCTGTGACAAAAAAACACAGAAATTCTGCACGCAATGCATTATTCCTGCACCGGCTGGCAGAAGAACAATCAAACCAACAAACCAAAAAGAATTGGCAGGATTGGTACGAAATCTACTCAGGATTGCCAAGAAATCTGAAATATTGATCTGTATTTACACAGATCCAGTCTACCAGTATTTGAGAAAATGGATGAGGTTTTACAAAACTGCATGTTGACGTAGGGGAACGAAAGAACGGGCTCGGCTTGGGCCTTCTGCTCGCTGTCAGTCACCCAGATCTCACTCCATCTTACAAGGACAAAGTTCCTTATCAACAGCCTGTCAAATGAGCTTGAGAACCTAGCATATTCATAACCCAGTCCCAATCACAAGCAATCCTGTAAACGTCTCACTTCTGCATTTTTCTGTGAATGAAAATCTTACTTTTGCAGAACAGATACAAGATGGGCAGAGAGAGAACACGACGTTATTTACAGTTCAAAGGGTTTGCCAATACTTTAGATATACATTTTCCTAGAAAAGGAGGGGAATTTCATATGAAGCAGTGGGGGAATTTCCTAGAAACCGGGCTGTGAGAAACTTACTAATACGGCAATTGCTGGGAGCTGTATCGAAGACAAAGACCAAGATAACTGGGGTTTCTGAGGTTAGGTTTAAGGTTGAGAGAAAAAGAAATCCTAGAGCGCACTTGGAGGTGGGCTGGAAAGGGGCTGCTGACGGGAACTGTGGGCTGGAAAGGGAACTCGGATGGCTGAGAGAAGTTGTTCACCTGGGCGGTGGGTAGTGGACCTTGTCGCTGGCTCAGACCGAGATTATGGTTATGGGCTCGGTTAAGAGAGAGACAGCCTGGAGCTGCAGTTAGAGCGGGGCTGGAAAGGGGCTCCCAGAGGAAACCGTGAGCTGTAAGGAATACTCGGTTGTGAGAAACTTCTTCATCCAGGCAATGGCTGGGGGGCCTTGTCAACAGCTCAGACTGAGGTAACAGTTGTTTTTAGGGTTAGGATTGAGAGAAATATATATTTCTACACCTATATGTACACACACAATATGTAAATATAGTTATCCTGGCAAATTCACCTATGGGAAGCGTAGCTTACTCTAGCAAGAAATCTTTTAGTGGTATTGCTTGAAGTAGTTCCCTGCATGGAATAATCTATCCCGGCAAAAAGGCAGGTTTTGCTACTATAATTGCAACTACATTCTTTTACCATTTTTGGCAGCAAGGCTCCGTCTGTTGCTGCGTGTGTGCTTTCATCAGCTGAACACGCAGAACTTTGCGAACAAAACACCTCAGTGCAGACCATATACGTGGCAGGTGAGACGGACCACAAGCCATTTCTCCCACCATCACACAGAAACAATACTTTCCTTATTTATCAATAAAACCTCAAACTAATAGTAGCCTTCAGACAACAGAAAGAAGCACAGAGAAGGATCTGGATTGTGTAACGCTACATTAAGTGCACTCATTTAGTATATTCAAGATGTGATCCACTTGGCAATCCATCCTGGGCTCCTCAGTGTTATTTTCAGGACTTCCTATCACCACAGATCAAATGAAAGAATCTCATTCATCTCAAGTCTCCCTGCAGCACAGTAGGAGAACTGGGGGTCAGGGAGAAGGCAAGGTGGTCACTGTTCTATGTAAACTTAAAAAAAAAATAAAATAAAGTAGTTACAAAGGAAATTCCTGAAGTGATGCAGATTTAATCCATCTATATTAATTCTTACTGTTTGTATGTATCAAGTGAAAGGAACTGGAACAACCCATTTAATTAGAAATAAACACTTTATAGGAGTTCAAGAGGTGCTTAAGCAGCCCTGTCACTTCAAAAGTCCCAAGATTTCACTTTGGGGGTCTTTTGTCCCTGCCTTTGGTCTTGCAAGCCAGATTTGTCCCTCTTGCAAGACATTGGCTAGATCAGCCAGTGACATGAGCAAAGTACAGAGTCTTCTGACATTTCCGCATTCCAAAAGGCGCTTTTCATTTCTGGCTCATTACCGGTCTATGACCAGTAAAGCACTTCCAGATCGGCAGGAGTAGAAATCATAACGTCAATAAAGAGACCGAATTTTAAGAAGGAATTAAAGTACCCAGAATATCTACTGGCAGCAGCTTAAAGAATAGTTACTGCTCACAAGACTTGACAAAAGGTGTTTCACTGCTTGTTCGCTTTCTCGTTTTGAAATACCTGTAGGGCTCTAATTTTCACAATCAAGTACTGCTACGCTGCAGCAGTGTTTACACCACAGCTTCCCTAAAGTTTGGCACTGCTTTTGTACATGAGCCTGCATGACAACTGCTTTCCAGCTGTAAGGTAAAACACACACAAAAAAGGACAGCATTAGAACAGTCGCTTTATAAACTACTTATAAACTAAATATCACTGTGTGGGTTTAGCTGCACTTGCCAAGGGCCTATAAATACAATACCTCAATGCCTTCCTACTCTTGCCTACTTCTCATCTACTTTGCATCATTAAGAATTGTATTTTTTGTCACAGTGATTTCAGTTTTTACCTCTTCTTACAAGAGAAGAGCAAAACAAGAAACAGTGAGATTTCAGCAACAGAAAACATATTTAAACGGGGCTTGTTAACAAACCCCCCAACTATTTAAAGAGAAGAGAAATCAAAGTTATGTTTTCTGTAATGTTCTTGTCACACAAAGCATTTTACAGAAGACATTAATAATAAATCAGGGAAAAGGAGGATTTTAAAATTGATACTTACAGAACTAAGTAGCTCTAAAGAGGCATGATAATGGAAAAGAAGTCTGAGAATGATGAGACAATAAAAAACACAATCACAAATACAGGATAAATAAAGCTGAAGTACAAACGAGCATCAGTGGCATTTAACGAAAGAGAGAAAGGAAGGAGAAAATCCAGAGGAGGATAATCATGAGGTTTAGCAAGACCAAGTGCAAGGTCCTGCACCTGGGTCGGGGCAATCCCCGGTATCCATACAGGCTGGGGGATGAAGGGATTGAGAGCAGCCCTGCCGAGAAGGACTTGGGGGTACTGCTGGATGAAAAGCTGGACATGAGCCAGCAATGTGCGCTCGCAGCCCAGAAGTCC